ACGAAGATGATTGAACATTTGTGTCCATCAGATCCCAGATTTTCTTCGATTGCCGCTGAAATGCTGCTTCGGTCTCAGCAGCTTTGGCATACCGTGGTCGTTACTGAGTGAGAATATTTTCTAAGAAATTTCCGATCCGGAATGCACCTTTGCCTGCTCAACTGTTCGCCGGGAAACGCCGCATCGCGCTGCAACTCGCTTCTCGTTCAAGCCGCACCGGGCCCTCGCGTGCGGGCACTCAGCGACAAGGCGCATCTTCGCCCATATACCTAGCACTGAAAACGGTTTCAAGGTCATGTTTACGCGACCTCTAGCTGAGCGGTGAATGAGGGGTCATATCTGTGGTGATTGGCTGAAAGTCCAATAATCACAGCGCGCGTTAGACGACGTCCAAAAGAGGCGCCAGAACTTTCCGAACACTCTGTTCGCGCACCGGGAGATCGCTCGACGCTCCGGTTTCGTTCATGCGGTCACCATTTCTCCCACGTGGACGCAGCTGAATCCTTAGAGACCACCGGCCGGCGGCCAGCTTGAAAACCCGCCGAGAAGCACGAGTGTGGCCGTATTCATGACCACGGGCATCGCCATCATGTCGGTCTGTGTTTGTGTTAGGCACTTTTCGGAGCGATAAAAGAAGAAAGTAAATATGTAGTAATAAGGTGGCGAAGTACTAGAATGAGCAGCATGATTGAATATCGTAGAAGAATAACCGTATGCTCACTATCTTTTAACAATCCAAAATTAGCCTAAAATGAATGAATATATTTCGGAAACGTTCCTTCTTCAGTTCAAAAGTTAACTTTTGAACTGACGAAGGAACGTTTCCGAAATATATTCATTCATTTTAGGCTAATTTTGGATTGTTAAAAGATAGTGAGCATACGGTTATTCTTCTACGATAAGAAAGTAAATATACAATTCTTAAAAGGCTGAAACTCTGCTTGAGGCTCATGATGAATAACAATAATATAAGAATAACCAGTAACCTCATAATATAAATCAGAAATAGGAGCCAAAAAGTTATCTTTAAAGTTATCGAATATTTCGCTCCTGGAGCTTCGTCAGCGATAATTACAGAAAAACATAGGTACGTTTTAAACATGTAACAACAAAGAACACTGCAGAATAAATAGCAAACTCATGCTACACTTCGCAAGGGACCGACATTTTTGGCGAAATGCTGCCGAGTTATAATTGCCGAGTTATTCGCCAAAAATGTCGGTCCCTTGCGAAGTGTAGCATGAGTTTGCTATTTATTCTGCAGTGTTCTTTGTTGTTCCATGTTTAAAACGTATATGTTTTTCTGTAATTATCGCTGACGAAGCTCCAGGAGCGAAATATTCGATAACTTTAAATATAACTTTTTGGCTCCTATTTCTGATTTATATTATGAGGTTACTGGTTATTCTTATATTATTATCAAATATACAATTGTCATTAAGTCTTTGACACTGGAAAGTAGAAGTTATAACGCGAATACAAAATACTTGCCTACTAAATTATGACATAAATTGAAATTTGTAAAAACAACTGAAAAGTGATAGCACGGATTGACTTCAGTTAACTTTCTGTTTCTGGAGTTGGAGTCGAGGCAGCTGGACCGACCCCGACTCCGACTCCGACTCCTGGCTGCTTGCCACGACTCCGCGCGGCATACAGGTAGGCACCCACCAGGCAATGCATTCCCATGTGTTGCGGTTTGGGTGCTACTGCACGTGCGCACGTGCAGGGGGCGCTTCCAGATCTCGAGAACGGCTGGGCCGATTGCGCTCAAATTTGGTACACGGTTGGGGACCAGTTAGTAGGGTGCCGTGCAAAAGTCAGTTTGGACCCCGTTTGCACGTGCGCACGTGCAGAATGCCGCTTCCAGATCTCAAGAACGGCTGGGCCGATTGCGTTCAAATTTGGTACACCGCTAGCAACCGGTTAGAAGGGTGCTTTGCGCAAGCCCGTTGGAAGTACCCTCTCGCCCTTCCGCACGTGCAGGGCTCACTATCTCGCTCGCTCGTTCTTCGCCCAAAAGGCGTTTTACTGGTACATAGATTCTCATTATCTATTTAAAACCAGTATAACGCCTTTCGGGGCGACTAACGGAGCGAGCGAGAGGGTGAGCCTTGCACGTGCGAAATTTTGACGGGGTACCTCCAGCTGACTTGTGCAGTGTGCACGGCACCCTACTAACCGGTCTCTAGCGATGTGCCAAATTTGAGCACAATCGGCCAGGGGCGGTCGCAGACTTGGAGTTTGGGGGGGGGGGGCCAACTTGGCAAAGGGGCCCCTGCGCTGACCCGGGGGGCCCGGTGCTAGCTTAAAGGGGCCCACGGGCGTAGTGCACGGGTGCAGAAATCTAGGCCATGGCCGGTGAAGCGGGGGGGGGGGTAGGGAGCGGCACCCGAGCGGAGGCTCATTGAGAGCTTTGAGGGTGCACCATGTCGAAAAGGTACCGAAAAGTGCATTTTGTTGATTATGTCAATAATTCACGCAACTGTGAATGGACTACCGCAAAAGTAAAGGCGGCTAACTTTGCCATTTTCTTTGCAAAAAAAAACTTTGCCATTTTTTAAGATCATTGTGCTAAAACTTTTAACAGTGGGTCATCGGTATCTGTTCACTGTTCAATCACATGTGTTCCGACTTCCGTTTAATCTTTTTTTTACTTGAGCACAAATGCAAGTTTTGAAGACCATTACAGTAGCAAATGCTTCGAAAGACGGATAGTGGGCAAAATATCCTAAATTTGTCGTGCTGCATGGAAAGTAGTGTTGCTGAGGAAAGGGGGTTTTGTTCCAGATTATTGTGGATGCAGAATACATTGTCTGCACTCAATGCATAATTATTGTTGGTGCAACTGCGCCCACTGCACCCATGGTTCCTACACTTATGGGCCCATCGATAGCGCTTCGGCGATACCTATCGCCTAGAGGCTGCAATGGGGCCCTTAGAGTACGGTGCCAGACCCCCAGAGGCCGGCATTGGACCCAAGGGTCAGCGAAGGGCCTCAAAGGCCCCAAGTAGGGCCCCAGAGGCTGATGTGGGCCTTCATAAGCAAGTGCGTGACGCCCAAAGGTAAGGCTTGAGCCCCCAGAGAACATAATAGGGCCATCAGTGGCCGGTGTAGAGACCACATAGGCCAGTTTGCAGGCCCCTCAGAGGCTAGTGTGGGGCCTCAGGTGTCGCTATGAGGCACTTAAAGACCGGTATGGGTCCTCAGAAGCCGACATCGATCCTTCAGAAGCCAGTACGGGGCCCTCAGAGGCACATAAGGGCAGTTTCGGTCCCAGAGACAGAAATGGGACCATCAGAGGCCGGTGTGGGTCGTGGGACCTTTAGAGGCTGGTTTGGGCTCTTAGGGGCCAGTTGAGAGCCCTCAGAGACCAGTACAGGGCCTGCAAAGGGCAGTTTGTGACCATCAGAGACCGAATTGGGCACTCAGAGGCTAATATGGGTCCTTACAGGCCAGCATGGGCCCTCAGAGGTCAGTGTGGGGCCCTAAAAGACCGGCATGGGCCGGCGTTGGACCCCAGAGGCCAGCGGAGGGCCCTCAAAGGCCAAGATGGGCCCTCAGACGCCGATGCGGGCCCTGAGCGGCCGGCATTGGGTCATCAGAATCCAGTGCGGGGGCCCTCAGAGGCTAATGTGGGTCCTTACAGGCCAGCATGGGCCCTTAGAGGTCAGTGTGGGGCCCTAAAAGGCCGGCATGGACCGGCGTTGGAACCCAGAGACCAGCGGAGGGCCCTCAAAGGCCAAGATGGGCCCCCAGAGGCCGATGCTGGCTCGACATCGGGTCTTCAGAATCCAGTGCGGGGCCCTCAGAGGCTCTTAAAGGCTAGTCTTGGGACTCGAGAGACAGAAATGAGGTCACCAGTGGCCGGTGTGAGGCTCTCAGACGCCGGTTGGGCCCCTGAGGCCGGTTTAGGGGCCCTCAAAGGCCAGTGGAGGGCCCTCAGAGGTCAATACGGGTCCTCAGCGGTCAATGTGGACGCTTGACCGCCACTGAAGGGCCCTCAGAGGTCAGTGTAGGACCCTCAAAGACTGGTATGGGAGCTGTTAATAGCTGGCGTGGGTTTCTCGAGCCTCGTGACAATCGAATACGGGCCAGGGCCCCATACGGCCATGGGGGCCCATCGGTTGTTTGGGGGGGGGCAAATGATATGATGGCCCCCCTGATTTGCCTTTGGGGGGGCCATGGCCCTGATGGCCCCCCCCCCCCCCCCTGCGACCGCCACTGCAATCGGCCCAGCCGTTCTCGAGATCTGGAAGCGGCACCCTGCACGTGCGCACGTGCAAAATGGGTCCCAACTGACTTTTGCACGGCACCCTACTAACTGGTCCCTAACCATGTGCCAAATTTGAGCACCATCGGTCCAGCCGTTCTCGAGATCTGGAATCGACCCCTGCACGTGCGCACGTGCAGCAGCACCCCAACTCTGGCACATGGATATGCATTGCCTAGTGGGTGCCTACCTACATGCCAACTTTCAGCGCAATCGGCCAAGTAGTTACCGAGATATTGCAACAATTACAAAAGTGACACCTCTTCGTTTTGCACGTGGCACGTGCATAAGGGGTCACCCACATGCATCGGCAATAGTCCAATACTTGGTAGAAGGAATGAAGCTACCCTACAAAAATTACCGCGTGTAAATCGGTCAAGTGGTTGCTGAGATATAAGCCTCGCAAAAGCGTGACCACGGCCGGCCGGCCGGCCGGCCGGCCGCTCATACTCAGAAATTTCCGTTAATCTAAGGAAAGACTACGCTCGCTTCGCTCGCTCCGTAATAAATTAACTGGTATAAGAAGGTATGAATACAAAAGTATGGGTAGAAACCGAAAACCAAGCAATACCTTAACAGAGATGCTCATAACTGAAGTTGGATTCGACGTCGGTGTCGATTTTTAGCCCGGAGTCGGGGTTGAAATCGTCGAAAATCTATTGACTCCGCCGAGTCGGCTGGGAGCGTAAAAGCACGGGGTTGGGGTGTAGTTGCAATGAGACCCACCTGGCCGTGCAGCTTCAGCAAGGCGATGTCGTTGTCGAGTGTCTGCGAGTTGTGGTTGTGGTGTATGTAGGTGGTGGACACGCGCACCGTCTGCGCACCCTCCGAACCGTACTTGGACGTCAGGTCGTGGTCGCCGACCCTCACGTAGATGGCATCGCCCGAGCGCACGATGCTGCAACAGTAGATGCACGCACATACACACACACGCGCGCAAACACACACACACACACATAGTTGATAACACACGAGCTATAACTAGACAACGCTTTTGCTATAGAAGTTTGGATACAGCGGCTGGTGACCAAGCCCTGAGCCTGTCGGGTCATGCTGAACTTCGGCAGTCAATTATAAAACCTCAATATATATGGTGATTGAATACAATAGTAGGTATGCATGTAGAAATGACCTAATTTCTGCTCTGGGTGCGCCATAAAAAATTACCCATCGATAAATTCACTTTATTTCCAAACGGGTTAGCGTAGGTATGCCATCTTTTGCATACCTATGTACATGTCCCAAATTTCTCTCAAATCCTGACAGTATAGCTCATTTTGTATATGCTCGTCCACTGTCTCTGCTACGCTCCCGAAATGCGAGGTCGTCTTAACCCTCGCCCGTACTGGTGTTTTTCCAGCCGGGAACGTAGGGGAGAGTGGGGTAAGATGCCCAGGGTTTTGCAATGTCATATATTATTCGAAAATGACGATCGGAAAGCATAAACTTGGAGTTTCAACGGAAGCCGACATCATTTTTCTCCAAAAATATCACACTTTCGTGGCTTAAATATGATAACTTTTTTGCTATTAAACATTTTCCTGAAGAAGTGAAAGGGGGCATCTTACCCCACACGGTGGGAAAGACGCCCCCTGGCGTTGGGGAAGATGCCCCCTTCACTAAAAGTGACATAAATGTGCACGTGAATCGCCTGAACGAATCAGGAGTCCCTTCGAGCCTGCAGTAGACACTAAACGTCATCGTAAGGGCCCTCAAAGGTAGTCGTAAGGGGCTTCAGAGGTCATCGTTAGGGCCATCGTAGTCCAGCGCGGCCAAACAAGCCTCCGTGGTGGCGCTCGGAGACCGTTGTGGGGCCCTTATAGGTCTCCATGATGCTTGAGGGCCCTCGAGCCCATCTTGGGGACCTCAGATGCCAGCACGGCCCGTGGAGCCAGCGTGGGAGCCCCCAAAGGATGTCGGGAGGGACCTTGGAGCCAATAATGGGGCCCACAGAAGCCGTCGTGAGGGCTCTCAGAGTCAGATGCCCCCCAAAAAGTCGCTGTGTGGGCCGAGAGACCGGCATGGGGAGCACCCGACCGTACTGGACTCTCAATAGTCCCAGATCGGCTTTTGTCTCTCACCACAAGTATGTAATAAATGATTTCACGGGTTGTTTGAAGGACGGCATACGGATTTAGGGGGGGCGTCTTTCCCCATCAGGGCAGGGGGCATCTTTCCCCAAGGGACCGAATTAACATTAACCTGCGCCCCGCTGGGGGGGCAGAATCTGCCCCCCCTCCCGTTTTTCGCCGATAACTTCTAAACGCGTTACACCAGCGACGTCATGCTTTCAGTACCTTATCATACATCAATTTGACACGTTCCCTGAAAATGTGAGCGAAATCGGTCGGAAATTTTTGAGAAAATGACGATTCAGTGACGTCATATTCGCCATTGTCGCCTCAAAACGGCAAAATTTCAAAGGCCGCTAACATCTTCATTTTTTAGGGAATCAAGACGTATCAAAAAAGATTATCCGTAATTTTATATTGTCTATCAAATGGCTATCTCGTTTTTTTTTAATTTTGGATTTTGGCCCCTATTTTTTCAAAAAACTGACTTTTTTTGGAAAAATAATTATAAAATCCAAAATTTTGAGTGTATCGAAAAAACCGGACTATATGTCAGAGAAGTAGTCTATGTGCACCTACATACCAATTTTTAGAAGAATCGGTTAAAAAAATGTGGGAGTTATTAAAAATTTTATGACGTCACGACACACAAAATTTTTGAAAAAATGATTTTTTTGGAAGTTCTAGAACTCGTACGGAAATAAAATAGCACCATTCGATTCGTCGTGAAAAACTGCATCAGATAGACACCTTTTTAGGCCTAAACAACCAACTTCAAAATTTGACCTCACTTGACCTGACCTTGACCTGACCTCGACCTGAAATTCATCCAGATGTGCTCCATATCACTTATTGAGTGTGCCTATTGAATTCTATGAATAAAATGACCCATAAAACATGTGTCGCACTTGCCCTTTTCTATATTTCGTTTTTGGTGACCTGACCTGACCTGACCTGACCTGACCTTGACCTTGACCTTTGAATGATTTTGTACGCAACGAATATTGTCTTGGTAGCCTAAGAACACGTTTTGGGCAATCAGTCTCAGTCCATTCTTCGGCAACTACGGTGGAAGGCCGATACTATAGAAGCTTGCACTTTGCACCATTGACCTGACCTTGACCTGTCCTCTGACCTACTTAGCCAAAAAAAATTGGGCTCTTAAGATCCGCCTTGTTGAGAGCTTTCGATTGCCGTTTTCCCCGTCTTTCTACGACCATCGGTTCGGAAGTTAGACAGGGGGGGGGGCAGAATCTGCCCGTATGGCTGAATAATCTGGCCGTATGGGCGCGTATGGCTGAATAGCCCAGCGGGGCGCGGGTTAAATCAGTACAATTTATTAGCCATAAAACTACACCCTGAAACAAACTGTTTGGGGCACAGTACACGCATGCTAATGTATCACGACGTAAAAAAAATAAAAATTATCAAGGGACATAAAAATTATTTACCTTCTTTGATATTTACGATGTTTTGACACCAAAACATTTTATGAAAGCAGCCAATAAAAACATGCAATCACCAGCCAGCCGTTGCCCAAATGAGCTTCGCAAATTTTTGTGCAGTTAACAAGGCAGGCTTCCGCTTTACGCTAAGAACATTAATTTCCAGGTTCGATTCTTTGTTTCGCCGCTAGAGGGGGTGGGGCGTCTTTCCCACCCTGGGCATCTTACCCCACTCTCCCCTATAAGGGGGGGCCTTGCCGTTTCGCCCCGGATGGAGCTAGAGCTTCGCGGAAAAAACGAGCGTATTTCCCGTAACGAGAGGAAGCCGATGATAGATGATACCCAATTTTCAGGTCGTAGGTCATTGGGTGACCTTCCAGGTCAGGTCAATGACCCAGAAGTCGGGAAAATCGGGACCTGTTAGAACGTCGTAAAGTGTGGCTGCTATGATGTCTTTCGGGGTGCTGATCACGAATATCATGTTAATGTTGATCACAGATAATGTCTTCATGCATTTAGGCCAGGTCGGGTCAGGTCAGGTCATCCAGTAGGGGTCCTGCCGGGTATTCGTAGTAGGTGTCAACCGCCTCTGAAAGCTTCGTAACATGTTACGAAGGCACCAAACCAACTTCGTAAATGTGTATTTGGTTGCTAAATTCGAATTCAGCACCACAAACTGGCCTAGAAACACATAAAACTCGAAAAAAGTGAACCGAGGTCATCAAAGGTCAATGACCTGACCTGACCTTCAGATGGTCTTGACCCCCACCCTAATGCATGGGGGCAACATCATATCACATGTTTGAACGCTTGAAACCACGAAAAGACAGCAAAAGCGCGGCTAATGCGAGCCGACGTACGCCGAATCGCGATTCCGGCCAAACATGGTCTCGAAAAATAGGTAACAGGTCAAAGGTCATTTGGGTCAGGGTCATGAAATTTTTAAGGTTAGGTGTAAAATTGATCAACACGAGGGTACTAAAAGTTTCGTCGCGATCGGCCACTTTTTACGCGTGTTATTCACGAAAAACCGAAGGGGGTCCGTTCGACCCCCCCCCCGATATACGGGCGAGGGTTGACGCACATCCGCCGCTCCTGAAATTCAGGAATCACCACTGGGTGTTGGCTGCTGAACACTCCTTGGTCTAAAGAATATAGGGCACATTTTATTCCCGACTTCAGCCCCATGGGCTTCGTAAACTGAAATATGCTGAAAACCCCACCCTACCCCCTGAAAGACCGGAAATGACATACGGCGCAGCATCGTTCTAACTATAGTCTGGCAAACCTAAGAAAGAACGGAGTTAAAGCGCTTCAATTACTTTGCACGTGTTTTGATCACTTCAAATGTGATCACCTGAGCTCACATGTCTCCATATTTCCATCTACTGGTAAGCATCATCTACTGGTAAGCATCAAATGTATGGTCCGGATAAATTTGTGTGAAAAGTTGTGACAGAAAATATGCTCTCACAATATAAAGGCACATGCATCAACGGCCGCAGCACTCTAAATCCATTCTTTCTTAGGGTTGCCAGACTATAGCATGGGTGATCGAGGAAAATAAGTGACAAGACGGTGTGGCGGGCGCGTGCCATAGTGCCCTCGCGTCTTGGGCAGGTGGTTTTTTTTCCTCCCGGCAAGCCAAGTGGCTATAACCGGGGGAGGGGGAAAGTTACTAGCTGGCAATTGGCCAGGTCTTCCGTTTACGTTACGTTAATGCCGGCTATTTGATTCCGGCCCAAGAACTAAGAGAAAGGCAAAAGACTACGTTAAACCGGCTCATGTGGCGTCCGGTGGGTTGCAAAGCAAAGGGAAGGCCGAAAGGTGCCTGATGGGCGAGACAATAAATTTGGTTACTTACATAGAACTTGCTGCTGTGACTTGCTGCTGATTTGTGTGCTGTTGTTTGGTGTGTGTTGTTGTGGGGTGAACTTTACCAGGAAAAGTCCTAACTAGAAAAAAACCTGGTGCCTAACCAAGAGGGCAAAAACCTGTGCTTTCAGCCAAAGTACACAGTAAAAAAGCCCTTTCTTAATTACGTTATATTACGTTACGTTATATCGCTAATGTGTATGTGTGTTTGTGGAGCTATCACCTTCATCCACTCCCGGGGGCCATGGATGCAAGCCACCTAGGCCGCGCCCGGGGTGTGACGGCACGTGATCGCTTGAGGCGGTGGGGGGTAAACATATTTTCGTCATTTAATGCTCAATGCAATCGATGCGACTTTTTACGACCTTCTCCTCAGTGGCGTATCCAGGATCTTGAAAAGAAGGAGGCAAAACCTGCTCAAGGGGCCCCACCCTTACCTTAGGAGCCCCAGTGGTAGCATACTTAACCCTCGCATGTGTAGGGGGGGGGTCGGATTGACCCCCCCA